GGGGGGAACGCCGCTGTCGCGGAGTTGTAGTGGCGCGGGGCGCACTAATGCAGTCAGCAGCAGAGCCCGTACAACACTCTCTGTCTTTCGCGTGATCGTGTTGACAAAATTTTGTTTTTGATTTTGTGCGTGCGTTGTTCAATATATTTCTGCGAAATGTATAAACATCTTATTAATACAAAGTGAACTCATGGTTGCCAATTTTACACTCTAAAAATAAAACAAGAAAACTGGCCTGGTAACTACTAAAGTTGTGTACCATTCTAGGTACGGAAAAGAACGGAAAATTTTGGTGTAGTCCAGCTAATTGCTGCAAAGTGAGTGCTGATTGCGCTGCCTTGGGGTTTGGTGAAGCACGGGTTTCTGATAAAGCGTCGTCGGGAATAAGTCGCGCGATAGCGCTGCAGCCGTGACGCGTGGGCGCGGCGTGGGACGCCCCCGCGACCCTTAATGGGGAGGGGGCCGGCTCGGGGCCGGCGGGGTGCTAATGGGCTCCTGGGCAGGGAGGGCGGCCGGACGAGTTCCGGACGTCAACGGCGCGGGCGCTTCGTGCTGCACCGGTGGCCCGATCTCGCCTCTCCCTCTCTCCCTCTCTCTCCCTCTGCCTGCCCGCCTGCCCTTTTATTTCCCGGATAAATTTATCTCACGTCCCTTGGCGTCGCACGGCGCGTCGGCGGCGCAGGCCGGCCGTGGTGACGGCACGGCTCTGGAGCTGGAGGCCGGCCGACACGGGAGTGACAGCAGCGCGGTGGCAGCGGCGGCAGCGGCATCCGAGCTGTGTAGTGTGTGAAAGGGATTTCCAATTCCCTCTCACCTCGTCGCCGAGCGCCGGACAGTCGGGGCAGGGCGGTGGAACAGGAAAGGGCCAGAATACCCTGTCTCAAAACTAAGTTTAAGAACGTGTTGCAGTTTTGTAGTGTTTGTTGGTGTTTGTTTGATTTTTTTCCGTTTGGCGTTCTTTTGTCTACCGTAATATGCTAGGTGGGAGATAAGTACGATTCGAATGCTTTATTTGGCTCGCAAGAAAATTTTATATGGAGAAAAGCCAACGTAATTTTTTCAAGCGTCTCTTTAAATATGCTCCAATTCGGAGGATAATCGACTTGTGTGCTCTGTCTCTTCGACATTGATAGAGCAGTCAGTCGTGAGAAGTGCTCGTGTGGTGGGCGAATTGGTGGGGCTGGGGGGTAGGTTAGCGAGAGGGTGGTGGTGGGTGGTGGGGTCGAGAGCTGTGTGTATGACAGATTGAAAGAGACAAACACCCGCTGAGAAACTTGAGACGGCACATCCGCTGCTGCACGGTGCGTCCCCTCCCCTTCCCTGTGAGCAGCGCGTCACCCGAATTAGTGCGTGCTAGAAATCCTTATGCCGTGCCGTACCGGTTACTTTTAGAATTCAATTTTCTACCAACGACAACATTCCCACACACGCGCGCTCAATACATATGACAACATCTTCTCAAAGTTTGTTTTGCTCTCCTTGTTGCAGAACGCCGTGGACGCCGCCGTGTACGCGACGCTGCGAGCGGCCGGCCAGCAGCAGGACGATGATCAGGTTGGTCTTGAGCGCCTGGTGCGCGGGCAGCCCCGGCGTGCGGGGGAGCGCGGCGGGTCTGCCTACCCCGGGCCGGGCGGGCGCTCTCGCGTGGAGGGAGAGTGAGAGAGGCAGGAGCAGGGCCGCCGCCTGCCGCTCCGAGTGTCAATAGAAGAGGAGGAGGAGGAGGGGGGG